ACAGCAGAATGTACAAGGAGGCGGCCAGACTGCAAAGCATCGGCTGCTGCGGGTGGTTCAGCGCCTCTTCCAGTACCAAGTGCTCCTCACAGGTGGGCCCCACAGGAGCTCACGGGGGACTGAGGTGGAGGGGCAGGGAAGGCCTCTGAGGGGGGTAGAAGCGACTGTGGCAGGCAGGTATTGGGGAAGGGTGGCCTCTGCCTTCACCTTGCCCTCCAGTTGAGCTTTGAGCCCCCTGAACCACCTCCTGCCACTTAGAAAGCTCCCTCCAGTGGCCACCCCAATCCTAAAACACAAAAACCCGGTGACACCCCTCCCCATCTTGCACTTCCTCCCTGCCTCAGCTGGCCATCTCTTCATTTCACTGGAGCCCTCCTTGTGGCCACACTAGTGGGCATGTTCAGGCTTGGACCTGCTAGACCCCTGACCACGTCCTGCTTTTGAGTGCTTTCCTCTGGGGTTTCTGTGGCATATTCTCTCCCACTTCCTTCCCATCTCTGTCCCTTCTCTGTCTCTGCTGGTGTTCTCCCATCCTCCACTGCACCATAAACATCAGAGCTTCTCAGGGCTCAGTCCTGGGTCGCCTTCCTTTCCCTCTCTGTGCCCTTTCCGCTATCTCTGCCTGCTGGATACACCCACTTCTCTGTTCTGAGCTCCAGACCCATTTATCCAACTGCCTCCCAAGTGGACAAGGACTCCTGCCCTGGGCAACTGATGTCCTAGTGAGAGAGACAGACTGTACATATGTAGGTATGGATATGTAATTCCAGGTAACAACTGGGGCTCCCCAAAAATACATTAAAGCCAGAGACCAGAGAATTCATTCATCTAATCCAAAAACTATTTATTGAGTACCTACTGTGTACCAAGTCCCACACTGGACGCTGGAGATGCAGCAGTGAATCAAACAGCAAACTCAGGGACACTGTGGAGCTTATACCCTAGACAAGCAAATAAGAAAGCCAAAAGATAATGTCTGTTAAGAACTCTTAAGAAAAATAAAACAAGTTAAGGAGACAGAGGGAACAGGGCTGCTGTGTTAGACTCAGTGATCAGGGAAGACCTCTCTGAGGAGGCAGCATTGGACAGAGATCTCAGTAGAGTGAGGACACGAGCCATATGAAGATCTGAAGAGAGTGCCAGGCAGAGGGAACAGCAAGTGCAAAAGCCCTGGGGTAGGAACAAGCTTGGCACATTCAAGAGAGCCAGCATGGCCAGAACAGAATGAGCAGATGGAAGATCAATTATGGGGGAGGGGCTGGAGGATGCAGAGCCTGGAGAACATAAATGCACTACAGGTTCCACAGGACTCTGCTGTATTGATATCCACGTCTGTCTCCACTAGTGGACTGTGTGCTTCTTGAAGATGGATTCACCTTGTTGTGTCTGTCTTCAAGGCATGGCCCAGTGCCAGGCACACAGCAGGCACTCAGTGGGTGTCTGTTGGATAAGTGAGTGACAAGCAGCTGTGGAAGCAATGCTGATGGTGGTCCATGGGACCAGCAGGGGAGAGAGTGTAGATGCCTCATTCTTCTCAAACTTCCAACTCTGGCAAGAGAGGGGTCACAATTGTGGGCAGGAGGGGCTGACCTTGCCAGTAGCTGACTCCTGGCTCTCATCCTACCAACAGACTATTTAAACAACCTTTGCCCGGACTCCGCTGAGTACGACAACACACAGGGTGAGTCCCGCATGAACGCAGAGAGAGGTACTCGATCCTGCTCTGCCTCCTTACCCCAAAACCTGGACCCTGCTCCAGTTCCACAGCCCAGGACATAGTCCCTTCCCCACCAGCTGGGTGGGTTCTGCATATGACACATCCAGGACTTCTGTGAGAACCCCAGCTCTTCTGAGATGGATCCCCCCTCACCTCAGCTGTGGGGACATCCTAGGATGGGGGTCACCAGAATTTGGTGATAGGAGGGGTGTGCCAGGTCTGAAAAGCTTATCACAGTCTCCCTGTTTCCTCCCAATTCAATGTGGCTGTCCCTCTGTATCACCTTCCAGGGTGGCCCCTATTAGAACATATTCAGTTTACAGCCAGGGAAACTGAGGCATGCCTGAGCATGGTCAAATCACTGCCAAGGTCACTTAGGCAGTAGTGGCCAAACTGGGGACGAGGCCTGTGACCTGACACTAGAGTGGGGAAAGTTGACGCCCCTCCTGCTCTGCATCCCTCCCCAGGTGCACTGAGCCTCATCTCCAAAGTCACAGACCGTGCCAACGACAGCATGGAGCAAGGGGTGAGTGCAGCCCGGCGGCCCCCTTCTGCAGACACAGGTTCCAGGCACCTCCCCACCCACTCTGGTCAGCCTTCTGATGCTCCACTCCTAGGGGCTGCAGGCAACTCTCTCTCTTGTGGAACTCTACAGAGAGCCTTGGGTTCTGGCTCTGACCCTTGATGTGTGACCTCAGGCACTGTGTGCCCCTCTCTGGGCCTCCGGTTCACCATTCAGACAATGAGAGGAGCTACAGACTTGTGGAGACCTGATAAGCAATGCCCCACTGTGGTCCGAGGCCACCTGCATCAGCACCTGTGGTGCTTTGTAGACTCCTAGTTCCTGGGCACACCTTAGATCCTCCCAGTCAGAGCTTCTGCATGTAGGATCTGGAGATCTGCATTTTTAACAAGCACCCTGGGTAAATGTTAGGACCACAAAAGTTTAAGAATCACTAGTCCACTAGAATACGTGGCTTGAGGCACAGATCTGATTCTGAGCGTGTGTGACTCTATCTGTTAGACACTGATCAGGTGTTTGCTGGATTTCTGCCAAAGAGGGCGGAGTTGACCCTGCATCCCAGCTCCATGCAAGTGACCAGGGTTACTTGCGTCCACATGCTCACTGCCCTGCTAAGCTGTAGGCATGCCAGTGCTCTGTGTTGAGAATGGGTCCAAGCACAAGTCCTAGATCACTGGAAAAGAGTTCAGTGACCAGCTAGCTAATCATGTCTTCTGCAGGCACAGAAGGTAGATGATGTGTGCCAAGGAGGTGCTACGCTTTGCTGTGGCAGACAAAAAGGGCGTGCATACAGTGAGTCATCCTCAGGCAGAAGAGGAGGAGAAATTGCATTTATTGGACACCTGCTATGTGTCAGACTTTGTACTGTTTTGGGGACTGGAGATACAAGGCGATAAAACATGAATCCCAGCCCTTGAGGAAACCTCTGCTTAGTGAAGTAGTAAATATGTGGATGCAAATGACCGTGATGGACGTCATGGGAGAGAATGCCATAGGGTTCAGAAAAGGGAGGCGTCCCTTCCAGCCGAGGCTGCCAGAAGAGATGATACAGGCTGGGCGCAATGGCTCATGCCTGTAATCCCAGCACTTTGGGAGGCCAAGGCAGGTGGATCACTTGAGGTCAGGAGTTCAAGACCAGCCTGGCCAACATGGTGAAGCCTGTCCCTATTAAAAATATAAAACTTACCTGGGTGTGGTAGCATGTGCCTGTAGTCCTAGCTATTCGGCAGTCTGAGGATAGAGAGTCACTGGAACCTGGGAGGCGGAGGTTGCAGTGAGCTGAAATCACGGTACTGCACTCCAGCCTGGGCAACAGAGTGAAACTCTATCTTAAAAAGAAAAAGATGATATGGAGGTGCCCTCATAGGGAGGATTAGCATACATGCCAGGAAAGCAGAGAGAGAAAAAGGGGTGCCAGGAAGAGAGCTGGCCTAGGCAAAGGCATGGAGGTGGAATGGTACATGCTGGAGTTCAGAGAGCCACCTACCATGGCTGGGAGAGAGGGACAGGATGGAAGGTAGGACCAGAGTCCAGGGAGAGAGGTCAGGCTGGCTGGTGTGGGGTGGACTAACACTGGAGGCTGAGCCAGCTGGGTATGAATTACACAGGCCAGTTTCTGGGCCAGTTTCCACGTGGGTCAGACATGCCCTTTTCTTTCTTTTTTTTTTTTAATTATATTTTAAGTTCTGGGGTACATGTGCAGATTGCACAGGTTTGTTACACAGATATACACATGCCATGGTGGTTTGCTGCCTCCTTTCCCCCTGTCATTTACATTAGGTGTTTCTCCTAATATTATCCCTCCCCAATCCCCTCACCCCCTGCTATCCCTCCCCTAGCTCCCCCACCCTTTGAGAGGTCCAGTATAGGATGTTCCCCTCCCTGTGTTTATGTGTTCTCATTGTTAAACACCCACTTATGAGTGAGAACATGTGGTGTTTGGTTTTCTGTTTTTGTGTCAGTTTGCTGAGAATGATGGTTTCTAGCTTCATCCATGTCCCTGCAAAGAACATGAACTCATCCTTTTTTATGGTTGCATAGTATTACATTTGCCACATTTTCTTTATCCAGTCTATCACTGACGGGCATTTGAGTTGGTTCCAACTCTTTGCTATTGTAAACAATGCCTCAGTAAACATACAAGGGCAAGACATGGCCTTTTCATCTGGCCCTCTCTCTCTTTCTGCTCTGCACTGACCTCCCTGCTCCTTATCATTTTGGCATCCTTTACATACAGTGAGAGTCTCTCAATGCAACCAAAAAGTAGAGGTGCTTTGGGATCCAGCGCTCTGTAGAGGAATAGCAGCAGATGGGCTGGGTTCTCCACATTTCCCTTTAGCCAGGCTGCCTCTGCTTCCAGAGAGAAAAGCTAGGTCAGGCAGGGATACGTCTTCCGTCCTACAGGAGAGCTTGCACACGTGGCCCCACCCAGATGAGGAAGCAGAGTAGCCGATAACCAGATACCCTCCTGGCTTTCTCCAAGGCTGAAGTTGGATGCTGTGCTGGGAAGCAGGGGCCAGCTGTGGACAGCTGTACCAGGCCTGCCCTGGACCAGAGGCCCCCTAGCCCATGCCTGCTTGGATTGGGTGGGGACTGTGCCTGGGACATTTACTCTTTTGTAGTTTGGTGGTGTGAAGCACATTCACATTGCATGCAACTGTCACCCCATTTAACTTCAGAACTTTTCCTCTTCCCAGACTGAAACTCTCTCCTCGTTAAACTCTAATTGCCCATTTCAGTCCCCTCCCCAGCCCCTGGTAACCACCATTCTGCTTTCTGAGCGGATTTTATTTTTACAATGTTAAATTTATGGAAAAGAAGATAGTACAGAGAGTCTCCACATATCCCACACACAGTGTTCTCTGTTATGAACATCTTATATTAATTTGCTACATTTGTTACATTAAACATATTGATACAGGATTATTAACTGAAGACCCTAGTTCATTCAGATTCCCTTAGTTTTGCCTGGTATCTTGTTGCAGAGTCCCATCCAGGATCCCACATGCTATTTAGTGGCCCTCTTTCCTGAGGGTCCCCTTCACTGCAGCAGTTTCTCATTTTCCTTGCTTTTGATGAGCTTGACAGTTTTCAGGATTACTGGTCAGGTGTATGGCGGGATGCCCTTCTGGTGGAAACGTCTGATGTTTTTCTCCTGATTAGACTGGCTGTATGTTTATCTGGGAAGAGGCTCACAGAGGAGTACTTTTCATCCCATCATATGAAGGACACATTCTAGCAACAGGATTTACCACTGTTGATGTTGACCTTGGTCACCTGGCTGAAGTCACCCGGTGGCAGGTTTCTCCACTGTGGAGCTGCTTTCTCTCACCCCTCCCTTTTCCGTGCCCTTTGGGAGAAAGTCAGTTTATGCAGCCTACACTTAGGAGTGGGTGTTATGCTCCCTCCCCTTGAGGGCACCACATCTATCTAGGTTATATGGAATTCTGCCTGGGAGATTTGTCTCTTCTTCCTCATTGGCTAGTGTATCTAGTCATTATATATAAATAAGTCATTTATATCAATATGGACTCATGGATATTTATTTTACACTTTGGGTTATAATCCAATACTTCCTTATTCATTTTATTTCTTAAATTGTTTCAGCTTTAGCTGTTGGGAGTGTTTTCAGTTGATTTCTGTGCCTTCTTCACATGGCACCATCAATACAGATTTTGAGGCTGTGTGTGTGTGTGTGTGTGTGTGTGTGTGTGTGTTGAGCACTTCTTTACTTTCTGGCAGTGCAAGGTGCTCCAGGATCACTCATCTCATGTATTTCCTGGTGTCCCAGTCTTAGAATCAGCCATTTCTCCTTGGAGCCCTGGTTGCATTAATTGGATAATTGTATTAGAAGCCAACATACAGGCATTAAGTACACTCACTGCTAACGCAGTATCATTTCTTTTAAGCCTCCTTAGCTGACAGCAAAGAAATGTATGTGTATACCAACCCTTGCATATACCCATATCTGTAGCTATTTCCATACATAACCATCTGTATCTGAATAGTGAACTACCCATAAGTTTTAATTTATTTTTTGTAGAGATGGAGGGTCTACTATATTGCCCAGGCTGGTGCCAAGCAATCCTCTTGCCTCAGCCTTCCAAAGTGCTGGGATTATAGGCATGAGCCACCATGTTCAGCCTTAATTTATTTTTATTTTATTGTATTTTGAGTATTTGTTTTTTACCATGAGTTTTTACCAGTGTTTCCCATTCTAATTATGACCACACTAGCCTCCTCCCCTTGCTTATCTGTAAATTCTCACTCCAACAGTGAGAACCTGCTTCCCACCACCCATAAACTTAATTACTCAATTTACCTTGAACAATCTGTGAAAGATATTTTTCCTGGGTATAGAAATCTGGATTGACAGTTTTTCTTTGATGCCACTCTGCTGTCTTCTGGCTTACATCATTTCTGGCAGAAAGACTGCTGTGATACTCGTGTCTGTCTTTGTGCAATGTGTCCCTTTTTTTCTGGCTGCCTTTAAGATCTTCCCTTTTGATTTGATTTTGGGAAGTTTGGCTGTGATGTGTGTGTGTGTGTTTTGTGGAGGATGGGGCGCTCTTTATCCAGTTGTGATTCTTGAGCTTCTTGGATCTGTGGTTTGTTGTCATTCATTAATTTTGGGAAATCCTGTTGGATGCTCTGTTCTTTTTCCCCACTCTTTGTGTTTCGGTGTGGGTCATCCCCACTAGTCTATCTTCAAGCTCAGGGAGTCTTTCCTCAGCTGTGTTCCATTTGCTGCTAAGCCTGTCAAAGGAATTCTTTCTTTCTTTTATTTTATTTTATTTTTTATTGAGACGGAGTTTCGCTCTTGTTACCCAGGCTGAAGTGCAATGGTGTGATCTGAGCTCACTGCAACCTCTGCCTCCTGGGTTCAGGCAATTCTCCTGCCTCAGCCTCCTGAGTAGCTGGGATTACAGGCACGCGCCACCATGCCCAGCTAATTTTTTGTATTTTTAGTAGAGATGGGGTTTCACCATGTTGACCAGGATGGTCTCCATCTCTTGACCTCATGATCCACCCGCCTCGGCCTCCCAAAGTGCAGGTATTACAGGTGTGAGCCACCACACCCGGCCCGGAATTCTTTATTTCTGATACTGATTTTTTACTTTTAAAATTTCTACTGGACTCTTTTGTATGGTTTTCATCTCTGCCAAAATCCTCCACCTGCTCAAAGGTGGTATTCACCTTTCCTGCCAGGTCCTTTTACCCCCCAGTCAGAGCTACTTTAAGGTCTGATGGCTCTGACACCTGTGTCCCGTCTCACTCTGGTTTGTGGAATGCTTTCTCTTGAAAGTGAGTTGGGGTTGGGGAGTTTTTTGCTTGCTTTTTGTGTTCCTCATAATTTGTTACTGAAAGCCAGGTATTATGTGTAGAAGCACTGTAGAGACTGAGATAAATCATATTTACCCCCCAAGGGGGGCAAGCCTGTTTTTTGATCATGCTGTTCATGGTGGGGGACAGGGTAGTCAGGTCAGTCCAGTCAGCACCTGAGCTGGGTGTGGGTTTTGCTGACATGTCATCAATCTTCAGTGCCTGCCAGGCTTCATGCTTCTCCAGCAGGGGCTGCTGTGACCTGTTGGGTGGGTCAAAGAGATTTTTTCTCATTCCTGCTCCATATTCAGCCTTTAGCCCTCCCTGCACCACAGGAAGGCCGTCTCTCCATGCTCTGGTCCTTCCCAGAAGCAGGCTACTGCCCTGTGTCACTCAGCGCTGGGCTTATGGTGGGCATATGCCTCCATCTGAAGCAGAGCCTGTGAGCCAGACTCGCCCCTCCATGGTAGCTGAGCTCTGTGGCTCTGTGGCTGGCCTTAGACAGGTTTCTGGCTTTCCCCCAGCAGGGCATTGATGCATAATACTGGGTCCAAGGGGTTACCGCCCCCCTCCTATGGTGCAGCTTTTGCTCTCTTTCCCTAGAGCAGCAGATCTTTGCCTGGGCTCTGGGGGTGGGAGATCTCCTGGTCTCCCCAGGGAGCTGAAGCCTTGCATGAGAGAGGGCCTGAGGAAGTGGGCAGGGTTTTGCATGTGGCCCTGCCCTACCCTAGTCTTCCTTGTGGGCAGAGACTTGTGAATGAGTGCTTTTGAGTAAGGACAGATTCCCTCAGTCTGCAGCTCCCCATTACTCTAAACTGGCACCAGTCCACACTTCTCCTTTAAGAATTTATTGACATTTTCTCTGCTCTCTTCTTACCTTCCTTTAACCAGCCACCTCTGCCTCCTGTGTGGCGCCAGGGGTGCGGCCGTCCCTGCATCTCATTCCTCTGTGAATGGGCTTGCCAGGCAGAACCCAGCACACTCAGTTGCCTTGTGACCCTAGCTCTCCCACAGGCTGAAGCAAAGTTATGATTTTGAAGGTTATCTGGCTTTTTCTCACTACAATGATAGCAGTGTTCTCTTATACTTCCTACATCATAAGCAGAAATGGAACCACAGTTACTCATTTTTTTACTACGTAAAATTTTATGCCCCAAACCATAGATAATGGAAAGGATTTTTCAGGGTACATTATCTACCCACAGTGCTCACCTTACGCCTTTAGAACCTGCCCTGTATAAGGTTCAAGGAGCACCTGCCCACGGTGCGGGTGGTGGGTGCTTGTTGTATCCAGGATTGTGGGGTGCTGTGCAGAGGAGACAGGGCTGTCACTTTACATTTTATGGCTAACCCAGTGAGGTACTGACAGGGCACACTTATTTTTCTAACCATGAGGCTTCACAGAGTGTGGACCCAGTTTCCTCCACAGGTGCTGTGTTTTTGGGCTGCTCCCCCTTGGAGACCCCTCTGGGCTGCAAGCCAGGAAAGCCTGAGGCCAGCTTTGGGTCTGGTGAAGTTCTCATGCTTCAGGCCTCATGAGGGACGCTGGATTACAGAGAGTAGGAGCTGTTGTCCACAGAAAAACAGGGATGTTGGGCAGCACAGCAAGGCCAGGCAGCTTCCTCCACAGCACACACAGCGATGGTGGTGGTGCCCTGCAGGCCCAGGCTTGGGTCCCAGTCCTTCCTTGTACAGGAGGTTGGATTTGGGGCAGGCCTTTCCAGGCTTCATTTTTGTCTGAAACAGAAGCAATGCCATGCCTTACAGAGAAGATAAGATGCCTGGTAGGGGCCCTGACCATCTCCCCCTCGCCCCATTCCCACCCACAGGAAAACCTGCAGAAGCTGGTCCACATTGAGCACAGTGTCCGGGGCCAAGGGGATCTCCTCCAGCCAGGAAGGGTGAGTGCCGCCGCCATGGGCAGGGGCAGAGGATGGCCGGGTAAGGCTCCGATAAGTTCCATTGTTCACTGGGCTGGTCCCAGACAGGCCTGGCTGCAGGTGCTGTCTACTGTGGAGGGCAGGCAGGTGGGTGGCTGTGGGCTCACTGAGCTCTCCTGGCTGCGGCCCTGGGCTGCCTTCCCTGGGGTTCCCCACCCCATGTGTTGCCCCCAGGGCAGTTAAAGACTCAGAGCCAATTTTTTTCGTGTTCCCTGTGGCTCTCCTCACCTCCAAGAAGAGGAAGCACTAAGTATTTTTAGTGCAGATTTGCTGGGAAAACAGAAAATGATCTCCCAAGAGCAAGCCCCTAGAACATTTCTTAAAAATAACATTCTTGAAGAGAGAAATTCATTCTCTTTAAAGCTTCCAAATGGAAAACATAAAACTCAGCTTAAAGTAGTAAAAAATATGTTCATTAGCAGTTATGCTCCATAAAGGACAAGAGACAAAGGAATTAAAGTGCATGCTCAGAGGAATTTTACTCGAGATTAGCAGGTGTCTCACGGGTCTGAGGTTCTGTAAAGTTACATTTAGTGTTTTGACCAGGATCATAAATTTGGTAAATTATTTCATAAACGTCTAGTTGTATATCCAGAATTAAGGGGGCTATAGCAGCTGTTCCCAGGTCTTCATCTTTTAGTAGACCTTCAGAGGCTCTGTTCTTGAATGGACTCCTCGTGGGTACAAACCAAGGGGGGAGTCATGGCTTGGACCACCCAGAATCCTGAAAGACATAGTCTTGAGTATCATGAAATCCCAAAAATATAATTCTGGAAAAAATAATTTAGAAAGATATTTAAAATATTTTTATATTTTTAAAAAGGGAATTTAAGAAACATAAAAACACAACTGAGCCAGGCACAGTGGCTCATGCCTGTAATCCCAGCACTTTGGGAGGCCAAGGCGGGCGGATCACAAAGTCAAGACATTGAGACCATCCTGGCCAACATGGTGAAACCTTGTCTCTACTAAAAATACAAAAATTAGCTGGGCGTGGTGGCGTGCACCTGTAGTCTCAGTTACTTGGGAGACTGAGGCAGGAGAATCACTTGAACCCGGGAGATGAAGGTTGCAGTGAGCCAAGATCGCGCCACTGCGCTCCAGCCTGGCGACAGAGCGAGATTCCATCTCAAAACAAAACAAAACCAAAAAAGAAACATAAAAACACAACAGAACACTTCACAGGCCACTTTATACAATAAAATTGGCACTAAGAACGTACATAATTTTGCAAGCATAAATGTTGCTGTATGCTAACAGTAGTTTCATGGGTCAAACAGTCATGAGCACACAAACCTTATTCATAAAAAAGTCAAACAGGAAAATTTATCCGTGTATGTCAGTATGGTTAGTACTTGTGTGCACCAGCCTTATAATTCCGGTTATCTGAAATACCATGACACATATACCCGAAGTCTTTTGATGAGCTCAGTTAAAACCTGTGATGAGTCACTATGGTATATGCAGCCACCCACAGAGCTAAGATCTCAGGAAAAATTGTCTTTCACAGAAGCAAGGGTTATCTCCATTCATTGAGGAAGTTGGTGTTTTTAAGTATATACACAGTGCTTAAACACAAATTCAACATTGTGATAATGTACTTTTCATGAAGTTACATTTGCAAAAAAAATGCATAAAATGAATTCGACTCTGTAAAAGTTTGTACACAATTTATACCTCCAGTATTGGAAATGATATAGAATATAATACAGAGCGTGGTGAACTGCTCATTTCCAGGCATTCCTCAGTCCAGTCAAGCTGATGCCTAACAGTTAACCATCACAAATCCACCCCTTGGCAACTTGGCACCCACATGCATCTTCTTAAGTCATACTTAATTTTCAAACAAAGACAGTAACAGGGTAATAATTCCACCTAACATAATGCAGTTCTTCTGTGATTGCAATCTTCAGAATTTTGTGAGTGTTTTTTTTTTTTTGAGACAGGGTCTCATTAAGTTGCCCAGGTTGTGGTCTTGGACTCCCGAGCTCAGGTGATCCTTTCAAGTAGCTGAGACTACGGGCACACACCATGGCACCCAGCCTGAGTTTTGGAATTTTTGATGCTAAGGATTTTAGACTTGGGGGATTTAGACTTTAGGAATTGGCATTCAGGGTGGTACCTTTCATGACTATGATCCAGGTCCTGCTCTAGCATATATGGCACCTCTCATGAGCAGGGATTTATCTGCGAGCTGCTCGAGTTCTCTGGGAGGCTTTATGATATAAGTTTCCACTTGGGCCTCCCTACACCCTTGTCTGGGATTAAGGGGGCATCAGCCTGACTGCCAAGGTCTGCTTCTCTCCACACAGGAGTTTCTGAAGGAAGGAACGCTGATGAAAGTAACAGGGAAAAACAGACGCCCCCGGCACCTATTTCTGGTAAGTGCCTGGTCCCCAAGCTGAGCTCTGGAACTGCCAAGTTCTATGAGGTTTTCTAGGGCTATTATTCAAGGACAAATGGAAGTGGGTGGGAGGAGAGTAGAAAACAGCAGAAATTTGGGGGTGAGGATCATTCCAGACAGCTGAGAGCTTCACCCTTGGAGACCACAGCCCACAGGACATTTGTTATTTGAATGATTTTGAGTGGAATGTTGGCAAAATATAGTTGTCCACATCCCCACCTTAAATATCTGTCAACCACCTTATTTAATGCTCAGAGAACTGAGGTCCAGAAAGGAAAGTCGCTGTGGCCAGGCCTCCTGGCAGGATGGTGACAGAGGCCCAGGAGGGAGCCAGGGGTTGTGACCCAAGTACAGCATTTTCTTTACTGTGTAGGAGATGGGACATAATTGAACATTTTTGTTTGGACGGCTGTAGTCTTGCCTACTAGGGAGTGTCCAGGCCTAGGGTGTAGCTGTATCAGCGTCAGTGGCTGTTGAGTGCCCCAATCATGGGACCCCCAAGTAGCCGTGCCTTGTAAGCCCTCTGCTGGGCAGTTTTCCTCTTGCTCCTGCACTTCTGCTCTCATGCCTTGTTCCTATCTGCCACAGCTGCCTCTCCCAGCCTCTGTGTACTTCGTTAGAGCATCGTGTGCAGTGGGAGAGACAGGCCGTGGTAAGAGCCTACGAGCTTGCTCTGTTCCAGGCATTGACTGTGTACCTCGTGTGTGCTGATGCTAGAAACAAAGAAAGAAAAATCCCAGATCTTGCCTTCAGCCTTCAGAGTCCAATGGGAGGGAGAAGCAAGCAGACAGTCCATTGTAAATGCAGTTTTGAGCATGATATGGAGGATCTCAGGCGCTGTGGAAGCAAAGAGGACTAAGGAGGGCCAGGCGGTAAAGAGAAGAAGAGGCACAGCCACGGCAGTGCTGCCGTGTATGGAGTGTCTGCTGGTGCGCATGTTGTGCTCAGTGTTCCCTGTGTTTCCTGAAGAAGATTCTACCCGAATTCAGCCCTGGAGGAAGGATGGGAGTTTGGCAGGTGCACCAAAGAAGTTTCAGGAGAGGGAAGTGCCTAGGCCAAGGCTAGAGGCATGAGGAGTGTGGTGCATTGGAGGAGCTCTATGAGCCTCAAGAAGTCTTTGTCTGCAGCCAGACCCTTCTGCTCCTGAGTGGGGCTTTCCCCATGCCCTGAATAGGTCCTACCCATAGAGGGGCCACTTGAGGGCTGACCTCCAGAGAGTGCTGGTGGCGCTGGTGGAGAAATCCTGAGCTTGGCCAGGAAATGTGGAGCCTGTGGGGCCAGCAGTATGTGCTGGGCGCCAATGGCTGGTGTCCTCAGGCTCTGCATGAGGCACTAGGTGACCCAAGTCCAGAGTCTTCCTCCTTTCTCTCGTTCCTAAGAGCTATTTGTTCCCTCCCATGAGAACCCCTCACTCTGGCTGGTAGTTGCTGCAGTGGGGGAGATTTAGCTGCAGGCAAGAGGAGAATGGACCCCCAGGGGGGATTTTGAGAGGGATCTGAGAGCCAAGCAGCACGTGGCTTAGATTTGGGTTCTCAGAAGGATCACAGAGCCCCTAGAGATGTTTGAGTCCTTTTCTCTAGGTCGTTTGTTTGTTTGTCGTTTGTTTTACCTCTGGTTACACACCTCCAGTGTTGGGGTGCTCACTGCCTGCTTAACATTCATTCATTCTGCAGCTTATTATCCATCTCCTCTGCGTGCCGTGATCTGTGCTGGTGTGTAGACATAGCCTCTACCCTGCTATGGGTCTTGGAGTCCAGTGCTGGAAGCCATTTTTTATTCCATATTAGTCGAGTCTAAACTTTAAAAATTGTCTTCGTTGAGGAGAAATCCTTGCCCCTGAATGTAGGGGAGGTAATGAGCCAGACGGAGCTGGTTAGATCCTGCCCTGTGGGATACTTACTTCCTCTGTGTCCCTTAGACAACTCACAGACATGTGCAGGCTTCAAGTTTCCCACCAGGAAAGTGGAAAGACTGGGTGGTTGGGAGAATTAAATGCCTGGCATTTAAGTATGTGCCTGTTAGGTAGAAGCCGCTTATCTGATAGGAGTCACAACAGTTTCTCCCTTCCCGCTGACAGCTGTTCATGGGACACAGGTCCTCCCTCTGTAACTAGGGCTACAGATCTCATCAGCTCCCTGCCCCAGCACAGCTCTGCAGGGAGTTGGTGCCCACAACTGGGTTTCTGTGAATTTCCCTCTCTTCAGGATGCAAAATGGAGGCCATATAGGATGGCAGTGGGGAGGCAGACAGACGGGATGTAGACCCCAGATGCAGGCCCCAGCTCTGACAGCAACTGGTGTGAGATCCCGTGGGCACACCCCCAAGCTTCAATGCCCTAATCTTTAAAACAAGGGAAGCAGTGAAGCTGCAGCTGGAAAAGGGAGGAGCTCTGTCATGGCCTCTCAGCTGTTTGCATCTGGCCACCTCCTCTGGCCACACCCCCAATCTCTGCACTTCTCCCAAGGATCTTGAATGCCAGGAACAGACACAGCAGCCTGGCTTTTCCCAGTCTGTCCTCACCCCATCCTCTGTCTCATTTGTCCCTGGTCTTGGCTCACTACTGGCCCTCAGACACCTTGAGGCTCTTTGAGAAGGGTGCCAGCTCCTCCCCTTCAAGCCATGATCAGATGGCACCTTCTGTCAAAGCCCAAGCACTGTTTCCCCCGCTCCTCCTTCTCAGGCCCTGCTTCTCTCCCCCACACTCTGCCCGTCTGGCATGGCCCTTTATCAGAATATCTCTCTCCCTCAGGGGTAGGCCCATGTCCCTCTGGTTCCTTCCGGTTCCCTCGCTGTGATTCAGCCATCAGCCCCTGCAGTCTGAACCTGGGTTCTTTGTCCCTCTGGCTGAGCACAGCCCTTCTACTGAGCAGTGTTGATAACTCTCTAATGGAGGGGTACATGGGAGGAGGGTGGCCCGATAGGTGCTCAAGTGAAGGAGTGCCATGGTGAACAAACACACTTAGGAAGAATTTTTCTTCCTCAAATGTGCCAGTTTCAGAAAATAATCTGAACTGCAGAACAGAGTTGGGACATCTGGGCACCTGCACCCAGCAGTTTTGTTAGACTGTGGAAAGAAAGTGTCCCACCAGGCCCTGACATCCCTGAGCTGTCATGATGGGCTCTTCCTCCTTTCTCAAAGCTGGGGCTGTAATGCACATACTTTTTGAAGCAGACAGGGGAGCCATGGAGGCAGCCTGGTCCTGAACCATGAAGGAAATGTCAGGGTGCTCATGGCAGTTGCCATGGTGTCAGGAGATTGAGGGACCATCACAGAGAGGCTGGGGCTGGGAGGGTTCATGGGCAAGGCGGTGTGCAGGTTCACTGTGAGAGCAGCCCTGACATACTCTCCTGAGCACACTGGAGGAGCACTCGTCAAGCTATCCCCCTGGCTTCACTGCCTGCTAGCTGTGACCTCAGGCATGACTTCTGGCCTCTCTGGGCCTCAGTTTCTCCCTCTGGGAAATGGGAATGATGATTATGGTGCCTGCACATTAGGATTGTGGGAGTGAAGTGAGAACGCTCATGTTAGGGGCTTGGCCCAGCACCGGGTGCAGAATCAGTGTCAATGCAATGTAGCGCCTGTCACTTAGAAGGCAGAGCAAGAACAGGGCTTCACAAACTAGAGCTGCAGGCCAATACCACTAGGATGCCAAGTTTTGTTGATAAAGTTCTGTTGGAACACAGCCACACCTATTCCATTATGGGTTGTCTGTGGTTGCTTTGCATAGCAGCGAAGTTGAGGGGTGGAGACAGAGGCCTGAAACATTCAATACCTGGCCCTTACAGGAAAGCGCACCACCCCCCACTTACTTCAACTCTGTTGGGAGACATCAAGGCCCAGAGAGAGGGAGGTGTTCCTGAGGTCCCATAGGGGATCAGTATTGGGCCAGGTCTCCTGCACTGCCATGGCTGGAACTGTGAAGTCTTGAGAAGAGCTGACTGTGGGAAGCCTCATCCATTCTGTCCCCTCAGCAGGCTCTGTCTATCAAGGGAAAAGAAGTATTCAGTCTGACTTTTGACATGTGTTGCCTTGTTCCATCCTCACACATCCCTACTTCCTGTTTTCCTCCATGCCTGTGGGGCTCTCCTTGGTTCACACTGGTGCCATGTGTCCAGGACTTATCCTGGTTCACGTCGGGGCCATATGGCCAGGGCTCACTCTGGTTCATGTCGGCACCATGTGGAGATGGCTCTCCCTGGTTCGTGTCGGCACCGTGTCCAGGGCTCTCCCTGGTTCATGTCGGCGCCATGCGGAGAGGGCTCTCCCTGGTTCATGTCGGCGCCATGCGGAGAGGGCTCTCCCTGGTTCATGTTGGCACCATGTTTAGTGGGCTTATTCTGGTTCATTTGGCCCCATGTGAACAGGGCTCACCCCAGGTTCATATTGGCCACCTATGGAGAGGGCATTCTCTCTGTGTCCATGATAAGGTAATGGTGGTGGTTTCTCCCATTTCCAAGAGGAAGCTGAGACTCAGCCAAGGAAAGGGCTTGGTCACAGTCTCAACACTGGACCATAACATGGTTAGGATTTACAGCCCTGAGCGTGATGTCATCTTCTCACACCTGAAACCATTTAGCTAACCAGAAATACTCTCTCCTAAGGAGATAAAGTGACTTTCATTACATCTGTCTGCCCTGATGTGGGGGGAGCTTTAGTTGTTCATTCAATATTAACTGAGCACCTACTCTGTGCAGGGGACTGGAAGTATAGCAGCAAGCAGGGCCCACCACTTCCTTCTCCTCAAGGTGTCTTCCCCACCTTTCCTTAGCTTTCACCTCTTCTACTTTATGGAGCTTTAATTTCTATAGAGTAAAATGTATCAGTCTTAAGCATATGTGTTAGTTGGTACTGACAAGTATATATCACAGTATAACCACCACCTGGGTCAAAATATGGAACATTTCCAGGCACCAGAAAGTTCCTCTGTGCCCGTTTACAGTTGATTTCTCCCAACCCCGAGGGCCCCCGTCACTCACTGACCTGACTTCTGTCCCTATTTAGATTAGCTCTGCCTGTTCTGGAATGTCATAGAAATGTCATCAAACAGCGTATACTCTCTTGTGCCTGGCTTCTTCATTCAGCATGATTTTGAGATGTATCCATGTGGTGGTGTGCATTGGCAGGGTGCTCCTTCCTGTTGCTAGAAGGCATTCTGTGGTAGGGACAGACCAGTTTGTTTATCCATTCACCTGCAGATAGATATTGGAATTGTCCCTACTTTTTGGCTGTTACAAATAAAGCCACTTTGAACATTCTCACACATGACTTGAGAGTATGTGCATGCATTCCTCTCAAGCATCAAACTAGGAGTGGAATGGCAGGGAAGGGGCTCACATTTTCGCCAGTTTTTGCTCACCTGTTAGGTAACTGAGGAATGCAAGATGCCTGTGCACACTGGAGCTCAGGGATCTTTTGAGGACAGAAGCCTGGCACAGCCTTCTGGGGCCAGGGCCTCTAACAGTGTCTCTCTCTCTCTCTAGATGAACGATGTGCTCCTGTACACCTATCCCCAGAAGGATGGGAAGTACCAACTGAAGAACACATTGGCTGTGGCCAGCATGAAGGTAAATGTCTGGTGCTAGGCACCCTGGGGTTGGGGGACAGGGAGACCCCAGGAGAGAAGGGGACAGCATCCTGCTCTGAGGAGCATCCAGACCAGCTGGAAGAGGGAGGCCTATGGACAGAGTTGGGCTACAGCAGGTTTGTGCTGCAAGTTGCCCAGGGAGACGGGAGGGGGGGATGGAGGGCTTCCAGGAGGAAGGGACTGAACCCTTAAGAGTGGTTAATATTTGGTTGGATCAGGAAGGGAGGGAGGGAAGAGCATCCTATGAGGATATTGCATAAGGAAGGGCCTGGGTTGGGGGAACAAGTACGTGTTTATTAATTTTTAAATTGTGGTAATATACACATACCATTTTAAAAGTAACCATTTTTAAAGTGGCACTAAGCATATTTACACTGCTGTGCATCCAGCACCACCATCCATGTCAGAACTCTTTCCTCTCCTTTCCAGACTGAAACTGCCCACATTCAACACTGACTCCCTATTCCCCTCTACTTCCCAGCCCCTGGCACCTGCCGTTCCATTCTGTCTCCATGAATTTGACTATTTGGTACCTTGAATGAATGGAGTCACACAGTATTGATCCTAGACTTGTTTCACTTAGCACAGTGTCCTCAAGATTGATCCCTGTTGTCTGTAGCATGAGTCATAGTTTCCTTCTGTTGTGTGGACAGGCCACATGGTGTTTATCTGTTCCCATGTCAGTGGACACTGGGTGGTTTTCACCTTTTGGCTGTTGTAATGCTGCTGTGAACATGGGTGTATGTGTGGGGCTTAGCTCTGTGTAACTTGGTCCCAAAGATGGAAACGCTTGGGAGGTATTGGGGACTTTGAGGAGCAGGAGGTTTTAGGAAGTTAATTCCAGTGCAGCAGCGGGCTTAAGGTCAGAGAGGGAAACACTGAGGTGGGACAGTGGAGCCGCAGGTAGTTGTCATTGTCAAGGGCAGAAGCAAGGATGGCCAGGAGAGCTATAAGAGGCATTGTGCCATCTCTCTTGATCCTGTAGGTGCTTTGCTATGGGGAAGGGGAAGGAGGAAGCCCTTTCTCAGCATGGAGGTTCCTTCCCTTTTGGAACCAAAAGCTCCACCAAGGAGACTGTTAGAAAAAGCCATGGGAGACATGGTCACTGGGCAGGTACTTGTCCAACATGACACTATACCTGGGGTTGCCCAGGCTGGGCCTTGACTGTGATGCTCCATGGCCGTCCCAGCGGTGGGTGAGTGGCCAAGGATGATGAAGCTGACAGGCCCCTGGGACAGCACCTGCCATCACAGAAATGTATGCCTGGAGGCTAGAGAATGGCAGTAGGTGGGCATGGTCCCACTGTCATCTGCTGTCAGAAGCCAGTCTGCACTTGCCCCTCCCTGAAGGAGGCTGCTGTTGGTTTTCCAGGTCAGCCGCCCTGTGATGGAGAAAGTGCCCTATGCTCTAAAGATCGAGACTTCTGAGTCCTGCCTGATGCTGTCTGCAAGGTACGGGCAGGGGAGGGAGGATGGCACACAAGGCAGATATGAGCATGGGAACGTTCAGAACAGCAGATGAGGATGTGCTGTTGGTATCCTTCTCGATCAAAGGACTTTTTTTCTTTTCAGTGTCTTTTAACCATTTTGGGGAAATTGATAAGAACTTCTCTCCCACAGAAAAATGTACATACTCACAAAATTTTATATGTAACTCCAGGGGTTTCTAGAGTCCATTGCTTAAATAAGGCAAAATGTCTTTTGTTTGTGGAGCTCTTTTTGGATGATCAGGTCTTTACAGCAATACGAAAAGTTAAGGCAAGTAAAAAAATGTATTGTGTGCTTTTGTTCATAAAGTGGCCTTTTTGCTTTCCTATCTAGGGGAGAGAAAAAAATAGTAAGTGAGCTTTCATCACGTATCTTGTCCTGTCTGGGGGTTGTCTTAGTCCATTCAGGCCACTATAACAAAAATACCATAAACTGGGTAGCTTATAAACAACAGAAATTTCTCAAGTTTGGAGGTCAGGAAGCCCAAGGTCAAGCCACTGGTGGATTCAAGTGTCTAGCAGGATTCTGCTTCCTGGTTCATAGACAGTGCCTTCTCACATAGATGGTACCACCTCATATGGTGGGAGGGGCAGGGGTCTCTCTGGGGCTTCTTATATAAGAGCACTAATCTCATTCATGAGGGTTCCACACTCATGACCACATCACCTCTCAAAGGCCCTGCCTCCCAACACCATCATCTTTGGGAAGAGGATTTCAGCATTTGAATATGGGGGAACACAAACATTCCAACTACAGCAGGGGACATAGCCTTTCTATCAGAAAGGTCTGCATTTTCTCCAGGCCCTCGGGTTGCCTGGGATCCTGATCTCCGGCTTCAGACCATGACCTTAAGCATCCCCCTTTCCTTCTCTCAGGGCAAGGTAAGCTCGAGCTCTCTGGGGCTTGGAAACCAGAAAGGTGTGGCTCCAGCCAAGGGCAGCTCTTCAGCCAGGGACGGGCATGGCAGGGGTCAGCAAGGCTTCCGGGGCTTGGATATCTCCCCATACCAAGCATGTGAGCCTGGAATGGCAGTGGTGCCCATCATGTGGGCGTTAATCCTGAATTGCGGTGGTTCTGAGTGTGAAATGGGATATAAATCCACTCATGCACATGAACTCTCATAGATGCATTTTCTCATTAAAAGCATTTATTAGGTGGGGCATGGTGGCTTATACCTGTAATTCTATCACTCTGGGAGGCTGATGCTGGAGGATTACTTGAGGCTAGGAGTTTGGGACCAGCTTGGGCAGCATAATAAGACCTATCTCTTAAAAAAAAAGTGTTAAGCATTTATTAGCCACACCTCAGTGCCAGGTCCAGGGCTGAGAACACAATTTAGCCCTTGTGCTTTCCAGGAGCCTGCATTACAGGCAGGAGAGTTGTAAACTGGCCCCAGGTACTGCCCATGATCCTCATCACCACCCTTTAGTTGAGGTTTAAAGCTCCTTCCATGCATAGGGAGTTGAGGCCTGCCAAAGGGTCACACAGCCAGATGTGGAACTGGAGTTTGAACCCAGGACTGTGTGGTCCACAACTCTTTATCTATTACAGTCTATGGCATAAGGGAAAGGAAGAGGGCTTGGAAACCCAAAGGAGGGGACTGCCCCATCTGGAGGAGGGAAGGCTTTCTGGGCGTGGTAATGCCTGGGTGGGGACTGTGGCCTCACCTCTCCTTGTGATAAAATTGAGGGCAGGAGGCAGCCCAGGGTATAGTTTCCGTTGGTCCAACCATGACAGGAAGGTGGTGACGATCCACATGTGGGCCTTCAGGTGGGGCTGCTCAAGTCACCTTCCTGCTAGTTCAGACCCTCCACACTGAAGCTCCCAGGGGACAGTACGACTCATTCATCGTCTTTTAGGGACATGGCATCTTGCTGCCCACAATGCTGATTCAGCCTCTGCACCGCAGCCCTGCTCCTGCCAAGGCTGGCAGCTCTTCCGCCTGCTTTCCAAGGCAGGCTGCACACTTACCTGTGGTGTAGGCGCGGCACCTAGTGGACACTATGAGAACCCCACTCAGCTACTGGGCACACAGCCCAGGCATAGCTCATGCCACTCAGGAAGCCCTCACTGGTGCAGAGCAGGGACTTGGAAAATGCCTGCTGGATGACTGTCTGGGAAACTATGTGGGGGAATGAGGAAGGTGGGAGACAGAGATGTTCACCTTTGCCAACTCCCACTTACCTCTTGTCCTCCACAGGTACCCAGCCCTCTGTCCCCTGCCAGCCGATTGCTCCTAAAGTGTGGGATCCTCTGGGCCTTCCTAATGTCTCTTGCTTTTGCATGATGCTTTGCTATTTGACAGTGTGGTTCCATGTCCCACATCTCCCTTTATCCCCACAGCAGCCCAGCGAGTTAGGGGAATACTGTTATTCCAGTGTAAGAAGATACAGGCCCAAGGACAGCTAATGGACTGGTGGTCTGCTAGTAAACCATATCTGGCAGGTGATCTGTTCTTTGGTGGTGGTTCTGGGCAGTGTGAGAGGCCCAGGCTCAAGGGAGGAGAATGGAGCAGCTGAGTGAGGACCTCATCCATGCTGAGATGGAGGGTGGGAGGCAGAGCCCCTCCTGCCTTTGCTTACTCCAGCCCATGCCTGCAGCTCCTGTGCGGAGAGGGACGAGTGGTATGGCTGTCTGAGCAGAGCTCTTCCTGAGGACTACAAGGCCCAAGCTCTGGCTGCATTCCACCACAGCGTGGAGGTGAGTAGGTGGGCAGAGTCCACAGGCCACCAGCCTCAGAGACCTGGGGTTCCCTGGGTGGACACTGCTGTCACCACTCACACCCACATGAACGTGTGGCTCCTGTCCTTGGGCACTGGCTCCCCCAAACCCCTGCCATGCTCCCACCCCAGTCAGGGGCAGCCTCCATGCAACCAAGGAGTACAGTACCCCCAGCTCTGTTCTCAGTCTGACTGTTTCCTACCCAAGGGTGAGTGTCCTGGAGGGTGCAGGAGAGGCCTTTAGCATCGGACCCATTCACCCACACATGCACACACCCTGCACAGAGAAGCAGGGCAGGGCTCACTGGGCCATGCATCCAGCTGGTCCCCTGGCCACATTCCACCTTACTTAGCCAATTCTGTTGTTGCAGATACGAGAGAGGCTGGGGGTTAGCCTTGGGGAGAGGCCTCCCACCCTGGTGCCTGTCACACACGTCATGATGTGCATGAACTGTGGTTGCGACTTCTCCCTCACACTGCGGCGTCATCACTGTCATGCCTGTGGCAAGGTGAGTCGCTCCATCGGGGGTGAGTGTGTGCGTGGGGGTGGGGTGGGGTGGGGTAAGGGCATGTCCCTGTCCAGCCAGGGGTTCAGGGATGTCCAGCAGCTACTGCAGGCCCCAGAGTGAGGCATGTTCACACCAACCCGAGAGGTACAGATTGCTAATTCCCATTTTACAGATCATCAAACCAGAGCTCCAAGTCTCAGGCCCCTTACACACCACCACATTTTCAACAGAAAACCGCAGCATATGTGGCTATTGTGCTTGGAGAAAAAAGTATCATGTAGTGGTTAAGGGCACAGGCTTATCAGAAAAGCAGATAGGCACTGGCCCAGAAACATGACACAACCTTGCTGGAAAGGTAGGGGACATGCACAGCTCCACAATCAGAACCTGGGGCTCCCTAGTGGCACTTGTAGGCAGATTAGCAGAGGGGAGGGGTGTGGGTCTGCTTTGCACGCACTGAGAGGAGTGAGAATCTTCCCACCTGGGCCTGCAGATTGTGTGCCGGAACTGTTCACGGAACAAGTACCCGCTGAAGTACCTGAAGGACAGGATGGCCAAGGTCTGCGACGGCTGCTTCGGGGAGCTGAAGAAGCGAGGCAGGGCTGTCCCAGGCCTGATGAGAGGTAACTTGGGGACCACTTGCCTTCTTCCAAGTGGCCTGATGGCTTCTCCCCAGGCTCCAGTGGCTTCTCCGTGATCATGGTTCATGCCTAAAACCGCTTTCCCTGGGAGGGAGTTACTCACTCCATGGAGGGAGGAAACAGAGGTTTCAGCTCACACCATGGCACCATTTCCCAAGATGTGGATTCCATGGAAAATTGAGCGGTGTCCCCAGAAGAAGAGTTCTGTGGGTAGCTAAGCTTAGGAGTCAGTGTGTCTGTAAAGGGACAGAGGCAGGGAATTCCTATGTCCTTTACCTTAGAGGCCCTCTTGTCAAGTGTCCTATAGGCCTGTCCTGTGAGACCTTTCTGGGACTGAGGACTTTGAGCCTGGCAGTAGAGGAGCTGGGGTCAGGGAGGGCTGAGGCTGTTCCACACAGGAGTCTTGGGAATCTGAGCTGGCCCTTTAGAGACCTGGTCCATGCTGAAGGGACAGGCCTTGCCCAAGCAAGGTCAAGTTCCCAGGGAGGAGAACAGGTGTATCTTGGGCCTAAAACTAAAGCCTTTCCCTGACGTCCACTCCATGGGGCTAGACCAAGGTCATCAGAGAAGACAGCCCAGTCCTTGCCACCTGGAGGCCTGGAGCTGAAGGGCTGTCCATCACCCTGGAAAGTGTCCCCTCCCAGCCTCCATAACCCGTCTGTTCTGCAGGAGGGAGAGTGCTTGACTTTCAGGTCCCACTTAACCCCCATGGTGAGGCTGGCTCATATCCCTAGAAGGATTTTACCAGTATCAGCTTTCCATAGACAAGCCACAGTCATGCCTGACTCTCACCTTCCTTCCCCACGGCTTCTTTTGGTTACAGAGCGACCTGTGAGCATGAGCTTCCCACTGTCTGCACCCCGCTTCTCAGGCAGTGCCTTCTCATCCGTCTTCCACAGCATCAACCCCTCAACCTTCAAGAAGCAGAAGAAAGTCCCTTCAGCCCTGACAGAGGTAAGGCAGGTAGAACTACCCATATGGGAAGGAGAGGATTTGAAAGGCTCATGGTCCTCCTGGGTAGATGGGGTCAGACCCTGCCCTGTCCTAGCCTGACCAGTCTCTTCCGGACAGAGCATTCCTAATGGAAGCATCCCAGCTACAAGGACCAACTTGTCAGTGAAAAGGGCAGTGCTTTCTGATAGTGCTAGAAGACGTCTTTCTCATCCTTCTCTCTACCTCTCCCCTTCCTCCTTTTGTTCCTTTTTCTCCTGCCCCATAGCCTAGATCTAGTACCCAAGGAGACTGCACAGATCATGGGGGCTTTTCAGTCTATAGGAGCCAAAGTCCTGGGTTGGTCCTTCCACGTCAGGCCTCTGAGCTGCACCAGCCCCTCAACCTGAGGGTCTCAACCCTACTCAGGTGGTGATGCCACTGGAGGCCCTGGGCTCTGCAGGAAACTTCAGAATTGGCTAAACTCAATTCTGTCCCGCAAATGGGACCAGATTATATGTTTGTATTTCCAATCAAACCACAGACCAATGTGTACCTGTGAATACACACGCTGTCCACAAGTGTGATCAGCTGCTTCCAAGTCAGTCCATTCATATTCATTATCAAGTAGCAGGTAGCAAGAGTTTTAAAAAGTGTTAGGGAATGGAAATTTTAAACAGGTACAGTTTTATCCATTAACTTGTTCCTTTTGCAAATTAAAAAATCTTAGATTTTTAATAGTTTAACCATACATGGTTAAACATTTTTCCAAAAAAAGTACAAAACAGCACATATGATGAAAAGTGAGTTTCTCATCGTTCCCAGCCTCTCTCAATCCCACTGCCATCAAGTTTCTTATGGATCCTTCTAGAAATTTTCATACACATACATCGTACAGATGTACATTCATAGATCTTTTTCTACCCAAAAGACATGTTATACAGAATCTCTTCTGTTTTCTCCACTTAATTTGTCTTAGAGATCATTTCATAATCACATATATGTAAAAAGCTCACATTTTTTACATTGTATTTCTCTTTTACTAGTAAGGAAATTGAGACTTAAGAGGAAGTCAGCAAATTGCTCAGCATTAACCACCTAGTAAATTGGTAGAGCCTGGATGGGAAATCCCAGGTCGGTATTATTTCAAGCCTGTGTTCTTCACCACATAAAGCCTATAGACAGATACTACTACCCCCTGCCACTACAACCAATAGTAATAATACTAAAGGGACTTAATGCTGCACACACCCTACTATGCAGGAGACTATAAAACCTTTTAAGCAACAATACAAAGAGGATCCCTCCCTAAATGGGATAAAGAGATTAGTTGCTAGTGCAAGAGTTCATTTTAGAAGAATCTTTTACCGAAGTACCTGCCGTTTCTTGAGAGGCTGAGGTTGGGAAAGGGAACCAAGAATCTGAAACACCACTAGGGGGAAGCATCGAATTCCCAAAGTCATGTGGGTCCATTCATTAAATCTTCTTTCTCAGATCATTAAGTACGATATTGCTGACTTTGGTACTGGGTGGATCCTGAGATCTTATCCAATGTCAAAGCAGTATAAGTAGTCTGCCAACTGGTTTGCAATGTCATTTTGAAGTGCGCTGTGTTTGAACTGTGCCCAACCATCAGGGTGGCCTGACTGCTCTGCTTCCCTCCTGCTAGGTGACTGCCTCTGGAGAGGGCTCTGCAATCAGCGGCTATCTCAGCCGGTGTAAGAGGGGCAAGCGGCACTGGAAGAAGCTCTGGTTTGTCATCAAAGGCAAAGTTCTCTACACCTACATGGCCAGTGAGGTAGTGATGATCAGCCCTCTCTCCCCTCTCCTCTCTCCTGTGAAATGACCCCCTGGGGCCTGCACACATCCTGTCACCTGCAAGGCTGTCTGAGCCCTGGCTGCTGAGCCAGTTCTTGTAGCAGTCAAGTCTTTAGTGAGCAATGCCATGTGCTCAGTGTTGCTGTGGCTACACAATCACACACCATTTCAAAATCTAAGGAATGTACAGTTTCTTTGTGGAGATAAGAAGGTACAGACATGCCAACCTGCGGTGCAAAGTGTTTAAATGTCACAGACCCAAAATCTAGGACAAAGATGGGACAAGCCAGCCATGCCACAAAAGAAAACTTCTTCCTACTCTCTACTTAGATTGCTCAGGGCAAAATTCAGGAGTGTGGAAGAAGCTACGCTCTTTTTGTGTGTCCATTTCTTTTATAAGGTAACTCTGGTAACTCTTCTAAAGGAAACTGAAATCTGTATTTTATAGAACATCTTCTTTTAGGCGAGAGCCTTGAATATCAAGCTTACTTCCAGAGTAGACAAAGATGTATGGTCGTGGTTGTATAGCAGGGTGTTGTCTGTCCCTGACCCAGGCTCAACCTGTTTGATAATGTGAAGCATTTCCATCTCCACACCCCACCAGCAGGTGGCTTCTAGGTGGTCAGGCACAGTTTCAGCTTTGAAAATGGGAGTTAAATGTATTCTGACGAGGTCCAGAAGTGCTTTGCCTCACTGGGATGTGCATGTCAGATAGGGCTGGCCCTTCTCTCCTGGATGCAGATGCTAGCAAATGCACAAAAGACGCTTCCTTCTTTGGGGCATGAAGCTTCCCTCTGGAAGGATCTGAAGCTGTGAAGTTTGTGGTATGCCCATCCCCAGGGATCATAGAGGATGGCTTTCTAGAAGAAACTGCTTTGGAGCCATACTTAAAACACTCAGCAAGGCCCCACATCTGTTTACTCTAAGCAAAGCAGGCAGACAGGGGATCTGCCTGCCTGCTTTTGGTCTGGCCTGAGTGGCTTGGGCACTGTGTGAACCACACCCCTCCCTGAGGGGCCTCTGCCTGTGTCCACAGCGGGGCCTTCCACACTGGGGGGGATTTTTATCTTTCCAGAACAAACTGAACAATGGTTGTCGTGGAAGTGACAGCATAAACTTATTTTAAAAGGTGGATATAGGAGCTTGGCACAGTGGTTCATACCTATAATCCCAGGACTTTGGGAAACTGAGGCAGGAGGATCTTTTTTTTTTTGAGATGAAGTTTCACTCTGTCACCCAGGCTGGAGTGCAGTGGCGTAATCTTGGCTCACTGCACCCGCTGCCTCCCGGGTTCAAGCAGTTCTGCCTCAGCCTCCTGAGTAGCTGGGACTACAGGTATGTGCTGCTACGCCTGGCTAATTTTTATATTTTTAGTAGAGTCGGGGTTTCACCATGTTGGCCAGGATGGTCTTGATCTCCTGACCTTGTGATGCACCCACCTTGGCCTCCCAAAGTGCTGGGTTTACAGGCATGAGCCACCATGCCCAGCCCAGGAGGATCTCCTAAGGCCAAGAGTTTGAGACCAGCTGGAATAACATTGTAAAACCCTATCTCAACAAAAAAATGAATGAATGAATGATGGACTTAAGTATGGCTCTAAAGCAGCTTCTTCTAGAAAGAAGAAGAATTTACATAATTTCTCAATAAACCTGTTTCAACGATGGAACAAAGCTTTCAAATCTCATCAAAAGGTTCTGATGAAGTAGATAGCTGGTTTGCACTGTCTACACCACCATGAACCCCTGTCATGCACTCTGAGGTGTCCCAAAGCTGATGCAACTTGCTATTTAGTAACAGTCCTGGCAGAAAGCGACTATTAAAAATGCATAGGAATCTTTATTTTTTCCAACATTTTTTGTTTTGAGACAGGTCTTGCTCTGTTGTCCAAGGCTCGAGTGCAGTGGTGTGATCACTGTTCACTGCAGCCTTCTGTGAACTCCTGGGCTCAAGCCATCCTCTCAACTCAGCCTCCCAAGAAGCTGGGACCACAGGTGTGTGACACCATGCCTAGCTAATTTTTTTTATTTTTTGTAGAGGCAATCTCACTGTATTGCCCAAGCTGTTTTCAAACTCTTGGCCTCAAATCATCTTTCCACCTTGGCCTCCCAGAGTGTTGGGATTACAGGTGTGAGCCACTGTGCCCAGCCCATTTTTTCCGACATTTTATCATTTATTATATTTATGTTTATAAAAATTTTCAAACATAAATGAATTTTTTTTTTTTCTTGAGACAAGAGTCTCACTCTGTTACCCAGTCTGGAGTGCAGTGGCGTGATCTCAGCTCACTGTAGCCTCTGCCTCCTGGGTTCAAGCGATTCTCCTGCCTCAGCCTCCTGAGTAGCTGGGATTACAGGCACACGCCACCGTGCATGGCTAATTTTTGTATTTTTAGTAGATGGAGTTTCACCATGTTGGTCAGGCTCCTAAAGTGTTAGGATTACAGGCTTGAGCCACCACGCCTGGACACATAAAGGAATGTTGAAAGAATTTTACAGTGAACTGGCCAGGCATGGTGGCTCATGCCTGTAATCCCAGCACTTTTGGAGGCTAAGGTGGGAGGATCACTTGAGGTCAGGAGTTCAAGACCAGCCTGGGTAACATGGCAAAACCTCATCTCTACTAAAAATACAAAAATTAGCCAGGCTTTGTGGCATGCACTTGTAGTCCCTGCTACTCAGGAGGCTGAGGCAGGAAAATCACTTGAATGTGGGAGGCGGAGGTTGCAGTGAGCCAATATCATACCACTGCACTCAAGCCTGAGCAACAGAGCAAGACTGTCTCAAAAAAAAAAAAAAAACATTTATAGTGAACCATCGTATGACCATTAACTGGATGATACAATTAACATTTTCTACGTTTCCTTTATCAAGTACCTAGCTATTCCTCCTTCTATACATTTTACTTTTTGATGTTTTTCAAAATGTACTTCCCCCTGAGAATTTAATATTTTTGTACCTTTTTTTCCTTTTGCAGTCTAATTTATATATAGTGAAGTGCACAAATCTCATATATACTATTTGGTGAGTTTTGATTAATGCACACACCTACAAATTGCTACCATCATCCCGTCCCCAGAGGCAACACCCTGTTCCAAATTTTTTCCACCATAGATTAGTTTTACCTCTTGGTCCGCATACAGATGGAATCATGTGTGACTTCTATTCAC